TTGTAAAGAACCTCTAGTCTGGTAATTAAACTAACGTGTCTGGAATGCTAAACTAATCCAACTATAAAATGAATTAGGATCAATCATTCAGACGAACAATTTACAAAATCCAAAAAGCTCGAGCAGTCACTCAATCCGACAGCAACGTTTAACGGCAGAGAAGCGACAATGCGACAGTTTAACAGTACAAGCGATAAGACCGTTTGGTATTCTTTAATACTTACTATGTATTGTTCATTTCGCCCCTATTACTGTTTCAGTTCGATATTGTATCATATCGTATAATACCAATAAAGGTTATTATCAATGCTGCGAAGTTAAAACAACAAAAAGTAAACTACAGAATCTTCCTCTAACACGATTCACTGATATTCAGCAACTTCGGAATTTCAAAGAATGCCGATCGGAAAAAAGCATTTAGATAACCTATTTGCAAACAGTTCGCCCAAATGAACAGTCGAAAGGACACATATGTTATTGTTTCTGTAGTATCAAAACAAGTTCGATCTATAAAAATATCCGTCCGGATATTCCTGCTCTTTTTGATGTTTTCTTCGCATATTTGAAAAGCATATATACCTGTTCCCCATTGTAACGAGTCCAAACTTCCATTATAATTTCGAACAAGTTGGGGTCTTTGCATATTCGAAATTTCCCCAAAATCGTATGAACAATATTTTTCACCGTATGGTTTGTTGAAATTTTTAACGTTTTATAATCGGTATCCTCTTTGATACCTCCAGTATAAATGCGCAGCGTACCCTGCAATTATAGCACCATGATATTTAGATTCTTGGAAAAAATCTCCGTGAGACTGGATATATTTCTAAATTTCGAAGCGAGCCTCTTTCATAAAATTTGCCATCAAAATCTTCTCATGGAACTAGAAATTAGCAAACATCACAAGTAATTGCCTTCATACCTTAAGATGAAGGTAATCGTAATTTATACAGTTATCAATACCTCAGACAGTCCCAGATAAATCCAAACAAACAGTCACTTTTTCAACGAGGAAAACAAACCGGTTCAGAGTTTAGCACTATTGCATATGATAACCGAATCAGGAAATGAATTTGTTTAGTCAACTTCTCTTCGTCACTGATATTATCCAGTTACTACAACCAGTACTTTGAAATACTTCACCTCATGAGAAATCTCATTTCCTTGAAACCATTTAGCAATAAAAGTTTCTATCGATTGAAGACATCTAAAGTTTTATAGCAGACAGCTAACATTTCATACTTCTGCTAAAGTTAATTCAAACCATCCTTATGCTATTTACCGTTTTCTAACAATTCCCGGATAGAAAAATTGAATACAGAACGTAAACTTATTTTTCGAATGAGACGAAGTTGAACGTGAAATTTTTCAGGATTATCAAAGTAAGTCAACACAGAAAGGTTGTGGAAAAAAGAAATGAAAAAACAAAGTAAACAAACCCATTCGCTAGCATCACTGCTATCTACGGAACTTAGAGAACTAGTGGAACTGGATCGATCGCAAATATGAATGGTCTCTTCTTCTGATGATGATGATGACGATGGTTTATCAAAGGGATACGATGAATTACTGAGGCTGATGCTTCGGCTTGTTTTGCTCTGATAATTGGTGTATAGTTTCCTCGATCGTACTTGATATTTTAGCATCTTGAACGAAGTGAATTTATATATATCTATGTTTGTATCTATATCTATATCCATATATATATATGGAAATAAATTGTATGGGTAGACTTTTAAAAAATTCAGGAATATTCATCAGATAATTCTGGAAACGATTTTCTCTAAACCAAACGAAGACAGGGGAGTGTTTCGTTCAATCAGCTGTTCTACAACCAGTTTACTAAATCCACTTATATACATTTCCATCGTGTTGCATGTGCTACCCCTTTTATAAGTAGAAAGATAAGATAATAGGTTCTTTTAATCGATAAGTGTCAATCAATAAGTTCATCAAACTAATAATTTCATAAAGACTCTTTCCAAGAAGTTTCGGAAGTCGGAAGAACTTCAACAAGAAGTAAAAAAAAGTATGTTAGAGAAAGGTAAGAGAAAGGTAATGGAGTAATGAAGATATCATTGAGAAGATATGACGTTAGCCCGAGGGGCGATAATATTATTGCGATAATACGTCAAGAGAAGGAAGGGACGGCATACATGTTGAAGTATTAAATGCGCTCATAACGGTCTCTTGTAGTGTCGTGATGATTTGTACTGAAGTAGCAAGCAATAACCGGAAACTAACTCCCTGTACATTAGTGAATTGAAGTGAAAGTCTAAAATCATGGAAGAGAAGTCAGAAAATAGAGAAAATTTAAAAAACCTTAAAGTTATTTAGACAGACACCTCACAACTACTATATTAAGGAAAAGAACGTAAGCTTTTCTGGCCATACGAAAGTTAAGAAAAGTTCTATAATTATAAAGGGATATCTGATTCAATTAAAATTAAAATCAAAACCTCGTTAAAACTTCCCCGCATTCATATTGACTGTGATAATTTCAATAAAACATATGAACATTGCAGTGAATAGGGTTAAATCTTTCAAAAATTGAGAAGAAATTGAAATAAATATGACAAAAAAGGATAAAGCCAGCAAGATAAAATGCGGAAATGATGTGTGAAGGTTTGAAACATTTGATATAAACCAAAATGACCAATAACTTTGAATATTTCATTTTAGCGCGTTAGTTAAAATTTAAAGGAAATTTTCAAAGTTACCTTCTCCTTATAATCAGAAACGTTCCAATTGTACATGATAATTAAAAGGATTTAGAAAAATGTGAAGATTTTACCTGAGATTTCAATTTATTTACAACATTTCTATGACAATTTTTATATAACAAATAAAAAACAAGATATAATTCAACCAACATTATCCATCTGGTAAGCAAATTTAATAACAGACAAACTGATTAAATCCATATTATCACTTTTTTTTTCCACTATTTCTGCTTTAGCTGATCCATGCCCTCATTTTAAAACACCTGCATTATCGTTGTAAAAGTGATTGCTTGAGGGTGAAATACAACGAAGCATATAGCTTATGAATAAATGGATGAGGAAACATAAACAAAAACACTCAGAATCTTAATGACTTCTAGTCTATCAAAATTAGTTGATTTGTTTAAGGAAGAAGGACTGAAACAAAAAAAGAAAAAGTAAAATAAATGTTTAATTTGCTGCGACGAAAGTACACAAATATCAAAAAGAAAAATTAACTTGTTGCAGTATCTATGCAGGAACTTTTTTTGTGACCCTCATTGCCGAATATGCAAGAAAAAGAGAATTTAATGATTTGGCGATTAGCTTCCTGCTATCCATGTTCTTTTCTGGCTATATTAAATATTTAGATAAGGAAAAATTAAAATAAACAAACGAAAGATTAAAATAAACCGAAATGAACAAAAATTGACTGACTTGGAATTTTCGAAAAAGATAAAATGAATATAGATAGATACACTCAAAAATGGCTTGTTAAAGGGGAATGGGATGAAAGAAGTGGTATAAGTGCAAAAGTCAATGGAACTTCATCAAGAAAACTAATAAATAACGAATCATCAGGGGGAATCATCAAAAAAATAACGAATCATTAATAAATAAAAAAATTAATAAATAACGAATCAACTCCGTTGAATTTTTGAGTGCAAGATGTGAGGAAGCTGTAAGGGATGATATATAAAATGCGTGCAGATAAAGAAGCAATATTTGGGAATGCATTACAATGCATTTTGCAGCTGTACCAAATATTCGACCTGCTGCTTCCTTGCGAAAGAAAGGAGTGAAAATCATAACCCATATTAAATCCCATAATCACACTCTTATAATCCCAAGAAATAATTTACGACTATTCAAGTTTTAATTCCATTCAAAGTTTCAATTCCTAATCATAATAAATTATTTTCTCCCAGTGCATATGCAGTAACTTGTGACTTTTCCAGTGCCATTTCTTTTTGCGTCACAGTTCCACGTATACTACGTCACTTGGAACTTCTTTCTAGACTCTTTAAACTCGTTGTATTTCACTTATTTCCAAACTTGAACATGAAAGATCCTGGCGAGAAAAAACAAATCCTACAAAAGAAGGCAGATATGAAGAAGGCAGAAAGAAGCAGATGCTTCGACGTTAATTATTCAAATTAGATATATCACGTCACAGACGGTGATGCCATCTAATTTTAAAGATATTGGTAAGTTATCGGAGCAACATATGGCTATAAGTTCATAAGACGATTCACCATCTCTCATTAAGATAAATTACATTCCTACCCATTCAACTTCGAAATGGCCCACAAATCTATGGCACAAAGAAGTAATCCAGTTGCTCAAAATATATCGGAAACGTTTACTTTTAAGATCAAAACCGAATATGATCAGTGACTGGCACTCCTATGTCTTTACAAGCACTTAGAATCTTTGAATGACTCAAGTTTTCGAAGAAAAAAAATATCTTAATTATGCTTGTCATTAGAAATACAGTTAAGAATTATTTTTTAACAATATATTTAGTTATTGAACAAATGAATCTGTGAGAGATTATGTACGATATTTGGAAGTAAATTCTCTTTTTTTAAGTGTAATAAGTTAATACTGCGGAAATCTTATGCAATAAAATGACCTATTTATTAAAATTACTTTTTCAGAAGAAGATGAAGAGAACTTAATAACTGCAAGATAACTGCAGATTATTTTCGATACGTATGATAAATCATTTGACCAGTGCAGATCATTCATTTATACGGTTAAATTAAAGATTACAGTTTACAGAGATGTAATAAAAATGACAACAATAAGTTACCACGATTACCTAATAAACAGAAATAATGACATAGAGCGATGAATTGAGGATTGTGCGGATTCGTAAAAAACCTGTCTTGCTTTATCATCAGAAGATAATCTTCTTTCTCTCTCTCTCTGCAAATCTCCGTTCTTCTCTCCTCTACTGGGTCCAGTCTTTTTTTAAATGGCAAAATTTAACTTATACTATAAGCGAACTAATTTATTCACTCAAAAACGACGACGCTTTTTTATTTCGTTATAATACTGCAGCAGTACAGAGATGGGAAACAAAGTTTAGTATCGTTCTGGGATTTGTCATTCAGAAGGCCAAAAGAAAACTATTTATAACTCTAAGAAAAGAAATAAAATTACCACAAAGATAGTTCTGAGTAAGGCCATATAATTTTAAAAGTAGTATCACCATTACTGTAAAGTTAGTCTAAAAATTGCTTCAAATCACAAGAAGAATGAAAAATAAGTGAAGTGACGAAAGGAAAAAAGTTAAAATGCAACTGTTCGAGCCGGGAAAGAACGAGAAACGAGCAATGTTTGGTTAGGAAAATTGATGGAAGTGCACGATTCCACTTTCTAATGAGAAAAAAAATTTTTTTTGCACATTTTCCGATTGAGTGGAAGTGTTATTTATATTAAAAATTTAAATAATTGATACAGTGAATATTTCTATCACATTAATGGCTAACTAAAGTTAAAAAATAAAATTAACTAAAAATAAAATTAACTAAAGTTAATTTGATAAGTAGCAAGTGTCAACAAAGCCTGAGAAATACGTCAGCAGTCGGGATATCTTAGAATTTTCATGCGTATATCTCATTTATATTTACTAATATTCATTCTCACTTCTCAATTCGACTAAACAGGCACAAGATTGTATGTGGTATTAGTTCTTGATATGAAATGGAAGATCCAAATGGATATTAGATAGAATAGTGCAAGGAATTGTTGAGTCTAATAAATCTAGCCACGCAAATTTATTTCTAAAAATATTACCATAAAACTAAGTAGAGGAAGTTACATTTGTAATGAAGAAATTACAAGATAATCGAGTAAAATTCTTACTACCATCAGATTCTTTCTCTTATCGCTGAAGATAAGTAAATGATTCAATTAATTAATGAGAATGTATGAATTCAATATGAAACGCCAGGAAAGTGTATAAAGATAAAAGTAACGAAGTGACACCAAACATTCGTAAACAATAAACATTACAAGTGACACCAAACTTATTAATGCGAAGTACTAGAAATGTACAATGACAGCAGTTTGCGAAATTTATTGCCTTAAATAATCATCATCAATCTCAGAAAATTTGTCTCTGCTACACTTTCGACACTTGTTTCTACGAAATGGACTGATGATTTATACAGGAAGAATGGAATATTTCGCTGACTATGTACTAGACAGGAGTAATATCTGAGAAACTGATATCATGATAGGAATTTGAGATGGATAATTGAATAAGAGGCAGTTTGGAAAATCAGAAATTACTTTTACTTTACTTTACTTTACTTTACTTTACTTAGCTTAACTTTACTTTACTTTACTTTACTTTACTTTACTACTACTACTACTACTACTACTACTACTACTCTATTTGAAAATTTGATTAAGAATTAAGCTGAAACTAAGAAAAACAGTTTGCGAAGAGATTGATTTAAAAAAAAAATGAGAAGGATAAGTTGGAAATGTATTT